AAAAAGTCAGGAAACAACAGATGCTGGAGAGGATGTGAAGAAATAGGAATGCTTTTACACTGTTAGTGGGAGTGTAAATTAGTTCAACCATTGTGGAAATTAGTTCAACCATTAGTTCAACCATTGTGTGGTGAGTCCTCAAGGATCTAGAACTAGAAATACCATTTGACCCAGAGATCCCATTACTGGGTATATACCCAAAGGGTTATAAATCATTCTACTATGACACATGCAAACTGCAGCACTGTTCACAACAGCAAAGACTTGGAACCAACCCAAATGTCCATTAATGATAGATTGGATAAAGAAAATGTGGCATATATACACCATGGAATAGTATGCAGCCATAAAAAAGGAAGAGTTCATGTCCTTTGTAGGGACATGGATGAAGCTGGAAACCATCATTCTCAGCAAACTATCGCAAGAACAGAAAACCAAACACCGCACGTTCTCACTCATAAGTGGGAGTTGAACAACGAGAACACATGGAAAAAGGAGGGGAACATCACACACCGGGGCCTGTTGGGGGATGGGGGGCTAGGGGAGGGATAGCATTACATGTATATCTATGTAACAAACCCGCATGTCCTGCACATGTACCCCAGAACTTAAAGTATAATAAAAAATAATTTCCAGAATCTCGTATAAAAAAAGACTAAAATTTAAAATGCAGTTTATGTAAAAGATCAACAGAACTTAAAGATAATCACTGTGAGTGACTTACAGCAAAAATTCAAAAAATGAAAAAGACTAGTATACTACAAGACTATCTGAAAAAAAAGAAATAATATCACAGAGTATCAAAAACTTGAATGGGAACAAGAACTCTGCAGTTTGAGATTTCTGATAGTCATGAAAAAGAAGACCTGTTGCATAAAAACCACTTGATGTAAAATGAAATTGCCAGGCTCAGGCTGGAAATAGACACAATAAAAAATCAAATCCTGGAAAAGAAATACCTAAAAGACATTGAAATTATAAAAAGAAAGCATGAAGACCTCAAAAGGCTCTAAAACAGAATGGGGAAACATCAACAAAAGCGATAGCCCATTATAGTGGACAGCTTACTGCTCTGACAGATGAGAACACAATGCTCTGTTCCAAACTGGAGAAGGAAAAACAAAGCAGGCAAAGACTGACGAAATGGAATCATACCATCGTAGACTGAATGCTGCTCTACGTGATCATGATCAAAGTCACTCAACAGAAAGAGACCAAGAGCTTGATTTCCAGGGCACGGTAGAGAAATTGTGTCATTTACAGGAAAATTTGAATTCTCATGTTCTGATTCTCAACAACTTTCTAAAGCTAAGAGTAAGTTCAGGGGCCTCAAAACTGAGCTCCATTACACGAGAGGCTCTGAAAGAAAAGGCTTTGGTTTTTGAACACATACAAAGAGAGCTAAACCAAACAGTGTCAAATGAAGGACATTGAAAAAATGTACACAAATGGCCAAGATAAAGTAGAAAAATGCACAGAAAAGCAAGTAAGATTATGTCAACTACAAAGACAAACTATGTTGCTTCAACAGCAACTGGATGATGTTCACAACAAAGCTGACAATCAAGAAAAAACAGTAATTGATATTCAAGCCAAATGTGATGCTACAGTACAAAATCTTCAGGCTGAGTGCATAAAGCACAGTCTTTTGCAAGAAGAGTAAGAGGATGATCAATAAAGTTAATCATTTGAAAGAAAAACAATGTCAATATGAAAGAGAGAAAGCAGAAAGAGAAGTAGTTGTGAGACAACTTCAACAAAAACAGGGTGATGTCCTAAACAATCAACAAAAGCTTCGCTGGATGCTTCATTGAGACACTGCATCCGTTGAGGAAGTGAGATGCAAGATTCAAGGAAGAAATTAGGCCAGACGAGAATTCAATTTCAAGAAAAACAGTATCAACTTACAGCAACTATGAGATGTACTAAGGAGACGCAAGGCCACATACAAAAGCTCCAAACAGAAAATTCCATGTTAAGAAATACAATTAAAAAGCAAGATGGCCAAATTGAGCAGCTTCAGAAAATCCTGCGAAGTTCAATGCAGCAGTTGTTGAAAGAAAATGAAACTACAGAAACAGATGAAGCTTATTCTGAATTTAAATCTGGATCCTCTACAGCAGAGGTCCCCAACCTGCAGGCCACGGACAGGTCCATGACCTGTCAGGAACCAGCTACACAGCAGGAGAGTTACTGTGGATCTTCTAGATTATCTGCATGCCACGTGACTCTTATAACCAGTTTTTAATTTCCACAAAAAACAAAACAAACAAACAAACAAAAACGCCTGCTTGGCTTTGGATGGGGACTGCACTATATCTATAGATTAATATGGGAAAGAATTAACATCAACAATGTTGAGTCTCTCAACCTATGAACAAGATACTTACTTAAGTCTTCTTTAATTTTTCTTAGCAATGCTTTTTAGTTATCAGTGTACAGATATTCCATATAGTTTGTCAGGTTTATTCCCAAGAATTTTATATTTTAATGCTATTGTAAATAGTATTATTTTTAAATTTTCAATTCCTAATTCTTCTAACAGAGAAACATAATTGATTTTTGTGTATCGATTATATATCCTGCAGTGTCGCAAAACTCACTTGCTGGTTTCAGTAACCTGGTAATGGATTTTATTTGGTTTTCTACATAGATGATAATATCTGTGAATAGACAGTTTTACTTATTTATTTTCAATCTAAAGGCCTTTTATTTTTCTCCTTCCCTCCCTCTTTCCCCCAACTCCCAATTAAAACATGATTGCAGTGGCTAGAATTTCCAGTACAATGTTGAATATAAGTGGTAAGAGTTGACCTCTCTTATTCTCAATCTTAGGGGAAAACATTCAGCCTTTCATCATTACAAGGGATGTTAGCAGAAGATATTTTAAAGATGCCCTTCAATAGGTTAAGGAAATTCTCTTGTATCCCTAGTTTGCTGAGATTATTTTTTAAATAAAGAATGGTTGTTCAATCTAAAAAAAAAAAAAAAAAAAAAAGGACATGGAGATGGAGGGGTGAGCCTTCTAGGTGTCTTATTCCAGGTTGCTGGAGCTGCTGGAGCTCACAGTGATTAGCCAAGCCTCGTATCAGTTCTAAAGAAAAGGAACCATGAGCACTCCTGACCTCCTCCATGCCCCTTCTGACACCACAGCCCTTCTGAGATCTGTCTCCAAGAGGCACCTGGGATGTGAAAGAATCCCACAGAAGCCAAAGGGGTAGCATAAAATTTCCCTTCCTGGCTGAGGACAGGTTAGGCATCTGAGCAGATGACTGGATGCTGTCAATAGCCTAGAAAGAACCTGGGAAGACTAGCTCCTCTCTCTGGCCCCGTCAGCTCCCCAGCCTCAGAAGACAAGACTGGCAGGGCACAGTGGCTAACACCTATAATCCCAGCACTTTGGGAGGTCGAGGCGGGTGGATCACCTGAGGTCAGGCATTTCAGACCAGCTTGGCCAACATGGTGAAACCCTGTCTCCACTAAAAACACAAATATTAGCACAGGCATGGTGGCAGGCACCTGTAATCCCAGCTACTTGGGAGGCTAAGGCAGGAGAATTGCTTGAACCCAGGAGGCGGAGGTTGCAGTGAGCCGAGATCACGCCACTGCACTCAAGCCTGGGTGACAGAGTGAGACTCCATCTCAAAAAGAAAAGATACAAAAAGACCAGTCAGTCTGAGTTCTTAGCCACAGTAGGACAAAGAAAGGTTCAGCAATTAGCCACAAGCAAGGAGACAACCATCAGGTCACTTCCTTCAGTTTAGTGGTGACAGAGGAGGAGCCCTAGTGGACCAGTTGGCCCTGTGCAAAGAGCAGAAAGGCAATCCAGATAAATGTAATTTGTAGGATGACTCTGGAGGTCCTGGAGGGCCAGGAACACTGGCTGACAAGACAGGGTACTAATGGTGGTCAGGCAACAAGGAGGAGCTGACAGGGAACACAAGGGACAGTGAACATCCTACAGATCCAGGAAGAAGCTTCCAAAAGAGATGGGCAGGGACAGCCAGGTAGGAGATGGCTTGGCTGATGAAAATGGGGAAAACAGTCATAGGCAGTTACAGGAGGCACAACCAGAAACAGGCCAGAAAACTCTGGGTCATGAAGGAGGCTGAAGCTGTGGCTTTGGGTGGACCCAAAAACCAATGTGGGCCTTGATTCCCTTGACTGAACAGTGGGATAACAATCCCTGCTTCCTTACAAGGCTGTCCATAAGAACCAGGTAAGATCATGGACACAAAAGCACTTTGTTGGTTAGACATCAGGCTGATAAGAGACCACCTGCAGTTTATGGAATCCTCCCCAGTGTCCCCAGCACAGGCTGAGTGCAAACACCAGGACTATTTAAAGGTCACTGGGCAGGCGTGCCTACTTCCTGTTGGCCGCACAGCAGGGATCTGTCTTCCCACCCCACTCTCCCCTGGCCCAACGCCAGGGGAGAACGGAAAATAAAATCAGTTTAAAAGCAAACATTTATAAATAATGAAGAAAAAAAATATAGCTGAGAACAGCAGGATTTTTCACCTCTTATGGGCTCTTGTCCAAAAAGAAATAGCAGTGTTTTCTGCTGCTGCTCTGTTCTTTCCCCATCTAGTGCCAGGAGGTCATAAAGAAAGATATGTAGGGAGAGGGAGGGAGGGATGGCAAATAAAACCCAAGAGAAAAGAGCCTTCACCTAATGTCAGAAAATACATTCCACAGTCAGGCGTAGAATCAGAACACCAAGAATGCTTAGATTCAAATTCCGAAACAGCATACACCACCAAAAAGTGCTTCTTTTCTACCTCACTCCACGGCCAGGCTCTTCAGGGGCTTGTGTAAAGCAGAGTCACTTGTTCTTAGATGCCAGAGGAGAAGCAGACTCACTCTATGCAGGACAGTGGTGATGGTTTCCACAGAGGGACAACTGGACCCCAAAACTCTGTCCCTTACTGTTGCTCCCCTGTGATCTCTGATGGGGCTGCCTTTTGCCACCTGGGAATCACTTGCACCCAAGGGTTATCTGCTGCTGCTGAACAGGTTTGTATTCATGGGAATTCAGTGGGACAACATCCAGAGAGGAAACAGGTACGTGAGGAAGATTCCATTCCGCAAGATATAGAACCCACTTCTCATCCTGTGCTACTGACATTCAGGTTCAAGAATGTATTGTTGCTTCCAAAAGTAACACTCAGATGTTCGAATCACAAGCAACACATTGCTGCAAGATAAAAGGCACATGTCTGTAAGACAGAGGTTTCGAAGATAGTTACAAAACTGTCCACCAGCTTCTGTCCATAGTGCCTTCCAAAGCTTCGCAAAACTGGCCATGAATTATGCAAGACACACGGCAAAACATTTCTTCACAGCATCCCTAGGAAAGAAAAGACACAAAGATGAGTGGGACGTCGTCACCCCAAAGGCACTTTAGAGGGCACCCAAAGTGGAAGCTGCAGAGTAGAAAGCACCTAGATTGAAAGATCAGACCTACACAGCATCAAACTGCAGCTTCAACATTTATTAGTAGTACTATCCTGGGAAAGTTCCTTGTCCTGTTTGAGTTCCAAATTCTTCATCTGTAAGAGGGGATGTCCCCACTTACCCCCCAGTCTGATTATGGGAATAGTCATCATAATCAGAGAAAAAGATAATATAGACTATCAGAAACTAAGAAGTCAGTCAGGACTGCTGCACTTCAATATCGGCCAAAATCACAGAATGCACTGAGAGCATTAAATATTAACTGGGACCTTTCTTCATTCTAAGCAGGCAGCAGAAGGGAGCCCACTATGGGTTCTGAGCACTTATTAATATGCTATATTAGCCTTATCACAGATATATACTGCTTGGAATTCAGTGTAGAGGGTGCAAGGAAGAGTTGGTCTTCAAGAAATTACTATTCTACCCAAGCAAGCACCTCCATTTCCACCACCACACCACACTGTGCAATGTGGCACTAGGCTTCTCATACCCCAGTTCTGTTCCACGTTCTCAACTGTGCTGCACTAAGGACACTGGGAGTCACATAAGGGAGGGAGAGGGGAATGGATGCATTTCCATGAGTAGACACTGCATTTAATATCAAGATGATTCCAGGGCAGCATTTCTTGAGATACACTCTGCACTGTAGTCCCAGAAGAGTCTCTGCACAAGAAGGGTTTTATGGCCACATAAGTCCCCCTCATGGCAGCTCACAATACACATAGCATATGGAAGGATCTAGCAAGCCAGGCAAAGAGGAACTTACCTAATTTTGCTTAACCTGTTTCTCAGATTACTTGATCATAGAACTCTTTTCTTCCACAGAAACACTATTTCTGTGGAACACCATGGGAAAAACCATTCTAGGGGAACTTACAAATAGAAGGGTGGGGCCAGGCATGGTGGTTCACGCCTGTAAACCCAGCATTTTGGGAGGCCGAGGCGGGCTGATGACTTGAGGTCAGGAGTTCGAGACCAGCCTGGTCAACATGGTGAAACCCCGTCTCTACTAAAAATACAAAAAATGAGCCTGGAGTGGTGGCGTGCGCATGGAGGCTGAGGCAGGAGAATAGCTTGAACCCGGGAGGTTGGAGACTGAGGTGAGCTGAGGTCAGGTCACTGCACTCCAACCTGGGCCATAGAGTAGGACTCCATCTCAAAAAAAAAAAAAAAAAAATAGAAGGGTGGGATCTAGCTCTGTGATTCCCTCCCTACTAGAGGAGTAATTCATTTGCTCAGCACATGAAACTCACTATCTCAAATAAAATTCCATCATTCTATCAATCACTTGTACATAAATTTTATACATGCCAATCCAGATCAAGCCTGAAGCTCTGATGAATGACTCCAAGCAAGTTTCACGAATGAGACCTGTGCAACTGCATTGGCCCCATACTTAGAAGGGTTCACATTGGGTTTCATGCCTTGATTTGATGATGTTGCCATCTTGAAATTCATAATCTTTTTTTTTTTTTTTTTTTTTGTGAGACAGAGTCTCGCTCAGTTGCCCAGGCTGGAGTACAATGGTGTAATCTCAGCTCACTACAACCTCCGCCTCCCAGGTTCAAGAGATTCTCCTGCCTCAGCCTCCTGAGTAGCTGGGATTACAGATGCGGGCCACCACGCCCAGCTAATTTTGGTATTTTTAGTAGAGACAGGATTTCACCATGTTGGTCAAGCTGGTCTTGAAGTCCTGACCTCAGGTGATTCACCCGCCTCAGCCTCCCAAAGTGCTGGGATTACAGGAGTGAGCCACCGCGCTCGGCCTATGATTTTTGAACAAGAAGCTCACATTTTTATTTTGCACTGGACCCTGAAAATTATGTAGCTGGTTCAGGGACCAAGAAATATTCAAATGTTGGCAGGCTGATCAGTATCTCATTGGATCCTCAGTTATGATGGACTCTGGCTTACTTCACATAAAAATCTAGCTTCCCGGGACATCCCTGCCCATATTCTTCTCAGAAAAGCCACCAGGCCCCAAAACCAGCCAGGTCTGCATGGAGTATTTCATAACTGCTACCCTCCTAGAATTTATCAGTGAAGCCACTCAGCTACCTTTCGCTTGAAAGGCTTAACTTCACATCCAATCAATCACTCCTCAGCACTTTCAAATCACTGTCAGCAACAGTCTTGGAATTTGTTAAGACATAAGATTGCTCTTCCTCCTTCCCAAGTCATGCATAATTTTTCATTTCCTCAGTACAGTTTGTTTTTTTTTTTTTGAGACAGAGTCTTGCTCTGTCACCCAGGCTGGAGTGCAGTGGCGTGATCTCGGCTCACTGCAAGCTCCACCTCCCAGGTTCACACCATTCTCCAGCCTCAGCCTCCCGAGTAGCTGGGACTACAGGCGCCCGCCACCACGCCCCGCTAATTTTTTATATTTTCAGTAGAGACGAGGTTTCACCGTGTTAGCCAGCATGGTCTCGATCTCCTGACCGCGTGATCTGCCCGTCTTGGCCTCCCAAAGTGCTGGGATTACAGGCGTGAGCCACTGCACCAAAGTCAGAGGCAAAGATCACGCGGCTAATTTTGAGAGGGTCATAACTGAAAGTGCTTAAAGAGCTTTGGAGTATTAGAATTTCAGAGCTAAAAGAGGGCTCTGGAGATGATCTAGACCAACTCAGTCTATTTATCAATGCTTTGAGGCCAGAGGGGTCAAGAGAGTTGCTCGAGGTCACACTGCTAGTTAGGAAGCCCTGGTACTGCTTACTCTCCATTTATAAACTCTTGTGAAACTTTTCCAGCAGTGGGATATTGCAAGAAGCACGAATTGAGATCCCTCCATATCTTACTCAGTGATATTAAATGACATTCACCTTTATTTTAAAAAAAAAAAAAAAAACCCTACTCAAAGCTACAGGTTAAAAGAGTAACAATGTGCATATATGCACTATATATAAGAGTAGAATGTTCACAGCATCGGAAATTGATGTACCTGGGTAATATCCATCATTAATTGTATAATTAGAGTGGGTGGTGTAGTGACCTTAAACTTACTTAAATGAGATGTATAGTATTTGTCTACTTGGCTCAAAAGACGTCAGTTAAGATAAATAAAATAAGATGTACTCTCTGAAAGCAGACTCTAAATTAAAATGAATGACAGAAATCGTATTTCCAAATACACAGTCTTACCTTGCAAATGGTATGAAGGAAAGGCTATACCTATAATGAAAAACAAAACAAAGGGTCAAATGAGATGAAGGGAGTAGCAGATTATCCAGCGGAATGGGCTTTTGAGCTTTAAGAGTACCTGCATCGATTTATCCAGACCCTCTCCCATCCTCAGCCTGGGGGGTGAGCATGTGCACACAAAGGCTCACGCATATACATGTATGTGTACCCAAACACACACACTATGGCTATGTACAGACAGGTAGCCACAGAAGAAGGGCAAAAGGTTCATGTGGCGATAACCCCTATGACCTCAGCCTCACTGCAGTACTGCTAGAACCTTGAGCTAGCAGCAATCGCCTAAAAGTCAGATTTCAGATACCCGGATGGCACAGAAACTCTATTCTGAAAAAGTATCAAATGAAACTCAGAATAGTTGAACCGCCCCCTTTTTTTTGAGACAGGGTCGTGCTCTGTCACCTAGGCTGCTGGAATATAGTGGCTCAATCATACCTCACTGCAGCCTTGAATTCCTAGGCTCAAGCTTAGGAGGCTCAAGCAATCCCCCTGCCTCAGCCTCCAGAATCGCTGGGACTAAGTATGTGCCACCATGCCCGGCTAATTTTTTAATTTTTTTTTTTTTTTTTTTTTTTTTTTTTGCAAAGACCAGGTCTTGCTACACTGTCCAGGCTAGTCTCAAACTCCTGGCTTCAAGCAATCCTCCCACCTCAGCCTCCCAAAGTCTTGGCATTACAGTGTGAGCCACCCATACCTGGCACAGTTGAACTCCTAACATTTTATAAATTCTAAACAGAATTTAACTTCTACCCAATTGGGATAATTTTAAAAGAAGAGAAAAGAGAATTAAAAAGAAGAAGAAAAAAAAAATGCTACCAACTACTCTGTGGGTGAAAATGTAGTATGTCCAAAGGTATCTTGGTAAATCCCAGTTAGCTCAGCCCTTTTGCTTAGAAGGGAACCATATACAAGGAAGAGGCTCCAGAACTCTATAGAACCAGGCACTGTGTGTCAGGCAGGCTGTAAGCTGGTCAGCCCTTAGAAAAGCAAACACAGTCAGAACGTGTCAGTGTTGAAGGGAATATCCCCGTTCAGCTGAACCCATGTGAATGCTGAACCTTTGAAACTGGATTCAAAATCAGTCTACAAGCAAAGCAAGGTGTGTGTATATGGGTACCAATTTCTGCCCTAGAAGAAAATCAAAATATAAACAGTCTACCACTCAAATGTGCATTTAAACACACACACACACAAACACCACCATCCTTCTCCATATCTTATACTTCCCATGTACAGAAGCTCAATTACTTATCAACACAGTAAATTCCAAAAGGCAATTTGAAACTATATTTATTCAAAAGTCCAAAATTGCTAAAGGGAGGGATGGGAGTTAAGCTTACAGTCTCAAGATTCATTTCTACCAAATAGGAGTTAAACCAATTCTTGGGAACTTTAAAATGTCCAGAATCCTGTTTTCTTTACATTGTAGCAAACATTTTTTTCAAAAATAGGTGAGTCACATCTATATTCAAACTGTTCTGGCAGATACCACCCCTTGATATACTTTGAAAGAACTACAGGAATGTCTTGGAACCTACAGATTCCACGTGTGTCACCACCCCCTCACTCTGATGTCGTATAGGCTTGAAAGGACCAAGAACCTACAGCCCCATTCATGGTTTCACAAAATGTCTCCAGCGTCCCTTTTACTATGCTTGGCTCTGGAGTTACAATTTCCTGCTCTTCAGCTGAATTACCAAAAGTCAACAGGCCTCTAAGCACATATGCAGATCTTACAGCCCACAGACACACGTTTTTCCATTTCGTCAGTGACTGTTCCTCATCTCCTGCTGACAATTCACTCTTTGTCCTTCTGTTAAATGATTCATTCTATTACAAATGTAACACTCATTATTTTTCTTACCGCTTTCCTTTTTTGTTAACCTCTATTGGACTCACAAGCCTTTTTAACATCCCTTATAATACTTTTATTGTCCTTGCACTTACCGGACATGAGTGGTTTAATAATATTTGTAACATCTCAAAAATCAACCATTAGTTCAGCAAAAATGCCACAGCAGGCAAGCAGCCTCCTGTGACCACTCAAGACCACTAATGCCATCTATTGGCAGTGGGCTGGGTTGATGGGCATTTGCTCTGGAGCCTGACTTCACTTTCATCAATGAGAATCCTTAAATTAAAGAGTTTCTGTGTTTTCTTAATTCTCCCACCCACAATATGTGAGTTTTATCTCCTTCGGCTACATTAGTCAGTGGGCTATGTGGGAGGGGATTGTTTAAAAGGTTACTTACCACGTCAGTGCCAAAGACTGCAAAATGCAGAAGATAAGTGCAAGTCCCTTGTTATGCCACTGGAAAAATAATAATATGGTTATAGGAGAGTGTGAGACAAGGGGCAAAAGCCAAAATGGTTAAGAAAAATTAAAATATACATTTACCCAAAAGGCAGAACACAGGGTAAGTGCAAAACACAACTAAAGGGAGAAAGGAAACATTAATTAATGACAATAACATGGCAGAAAAAAAAAAAAAAAACCTCAAAACTTGTTATTCTTGACAAACGCACAACACTTATGCATCCTTCATCTCAAAGCAGTTAACCCACCTGAGCACCCATGTTTGGCAGAACAGTTAAAAATCTCCACGAAATCAAACTAGCCAATAAAGATTCACATAGCTTAAAAAGAGAAAGACGTTCTTTTACTTTCAAGTTTTCCCAGAACCTCTGCCCAGCAAACAAATCACATTTCAGGCCCACCCATTCATCCGTCCATCCATCTTTTCATTCGAATGCACTAAAGAAAGCTTAACACAAATCTATTTTAACTCCTACCGAATGCTAGTCTCTGCAGCAGAAAGCACATGCAAGGACAAAGGTTAACATGAGATATCAATCTCACAGTCAGCATGCCAGTTATTTGTTTACCTATCACCTAACACTTTCCCTAAGGCCATTCTTAGAAAGCTCTTCCTACAGGAGACTTGTCCAGGCCGTGGACATCTGAGGCTGGCCAAGGACAACTGGTGCTAGAGCAGTTAGCCATGCCTTTCCTCGCCATCCTTCTATAACAGTAACTACTCAAATATGTCCTAAACATTCTCTGTGTCCAGCATCGTGCCCAATACTCTAAAAGGACACTAAATAAATAGTAAATGTGGTCACAGCTTTTGAGAACTCACCTATTTGAACAAATGAGATTACACAAATGAAACTAAAAATAAAAGTATGTTCATCAAGTTCCAAATGTAGTAATAGTTATAAAAGTCCAGAGAGTGCAGGTCTGGGATGATTTTGACAACCACAGGGAAGAAAATAGGCCAAAAATGAGAGGCATTTGGGGTCAATGGGACAGGAAGCTATAACAAAGCTGAAGACAATGTTGTCAGAGCAGGGTACAAGGATGACAGGCCATATGGAGGCCATTCCCACTTTGGGGAGACTGACGAAAAACAGTAATAAGTCTCCAAGTCAGATAATGAGGAATAAAGAGGCCATTCTATAAGGCACGACACCCACCCTAGAGAATGAGTCCTGTGTTTGAGTTATTCCCTCTAAGCCCTGCCTGTGTGTGGCTTCAACAGTCACCAGGAAGGTGTCTGAGCTCCCTTACTACCACCATACCACTCTGGCTAATCTGACAAGCAATGCCCTCTAGAGGTGCTTTTCAGAACTGGTAGCACCTTGACACCCACTGAAACACAAAGTAGGGGAGGAGGGGATTGCGGCATTAGGTAGAGTGTTCCCTTCTGCCACATGGTTATAGGAATAAGGTAATAAGTCAAGCTGAATGGAAAAAGAGAAGAGGTCCTTAGGTTTAAAAGGAAAAAAATCTTATACAACAGAAATAAAAACTCCCATTTGAGAAATCCAGCTAAAAAGCAGACCTTACCAGCACCATGATAGTTGCAATCAAACGTGTAGGTTCAAACATTCGCTTCAGCTGTTTCACTGGTCCCATGAGGAAGATGGTACTAAAAGGCAAACACACCCACACAAGCTGTTCAGAACAGAACTGCACTAGGCACACTGAGTCGCCTCCCCAAGATTTCCTGTGGCAACAGTAGCTAACATTTGAAAAGCTCTTATTCTGTAGAAGGCACTGTGCTGAAGGGCCTTTTGTACATCATTCTCATTTAATCCATCACCAACCAACCCATAAAGTAGGAACAATTACCACACAGAGCCCACAGAGTTACTTTATCCAAGGCCACCCAACTAGGGAATGATAGACCCAGGTTGTAAACGCATGTGGGTTTGACTGTAGATTCATATCATACCACTAGGTTAGATAAGCCTTCTCCTTGAGAGGTGCTACCTTGCCTCCCTGACAATACCTACTCATGGAAACAAACAAGGCTCAGGAAGTTTAACGAAAAACCATACCTTACAGGCTTAGGTAGGTTATGTTAAAAAGCAGAGCATTTCATTTTCTTTCATAATCTTCAGGGAATAATTCTAATGATGATGATATCATCATGGGTTATTTGTTGAATGTTTGCTAAATGCCAGATATTACATGTATTACCTCATTTCTTCTCAACAATTTTGTGAGTTACGATTACACTTATTTTAGAGATGAGAAAATCACACAGCTACCAAAGAGCTGGTATTTGACTCTATAGCTATTAGATTCCAAACCTCTAAAAAGACAGTCCCAGCATGCTTGGGTTTTTTGTCTGTTTGTTTGTTTGTTTTGAGATGGAGTCTTGCTCTGTCGCCAGGCTGGAGTGCAGTGATGTGATCTCGGCTCACTGCAACCTCCGCCTCCTGGTTCAAGTGATTCTCCTGCCTCAGCCTCCAGAGTAGCTGGGACTATAGGCACACATCACCACATCCAGCTAATTTTTGTATTTTTAGTAGAGACAAGGTTTCATCATGTTGGCCAGGATGGTCTCGATCTCTTGACCTCGTGATCCACCCACCTCAGCCTCCCAAAGTGCTGGGATTATAGGGGTGAGCCACTGCGCCTGGTCCCCAGCATGCTTTCTGTATGAATGAGAGATTGCTAGCAAGAGTAATCACAAATGAAGCAGACTGTCATGTCTAACACATCAACTTGGCGTGAGCCACCACACTTGGCCAATAAGTCTTCCTCTCTTTGAAGTGCCATTAAGTTGCAAGGCTTCACTCTCAAGTGCCCCAACTAAAAGAACAGTTCTTTAACCTACACCGAATAAGAAGCAACAGTCAAGGCTGGTCCTAAAAATTAAACACAGCATATACACAAAACTATAACAGACTACAGGCAAAGACACAAACTCCCAAATGCCCTGAAAATAACAATTTGCTCCCTTTATTATTTCCCTACACAGTGCTATGAAGAATTCAGCCCATAGCAATTTGCTAAAGAGCTCTTCTGGACTAAGCAACACACCCATATATTTATGCTCAGTCTAGACTATACATTGTAACTTACACTGTCTGCCCAAAACAACCCCCCACCAAAAGTTAGTATTGGAGAAAGCTTTAGAGGCAACAAAAGACATCTCTAAGGGTCAGCATTTTACTGTCATAAGCACCAATAAATTAAGCTTTAAGCAGGTGGCCAGAATCATGCACTCAATCATTTAATTAACATCTCCCATTTCCAGCCAGACTCAGAGCTAAGTTTGGGTACAACTGGGGACAAATAAGATACATGTGCAGCCCTTATCAAGTGGCTTACAGACCTAACAAGTCAGTGTAGTAAAATGCTGCCTGCACTGGCACATAAATATAGATGGAATACTGAGAGCCCAAAGGAAAAGGTCATCAATTCTGGAGAGGAGGAGGTAATCAGGAAAAGCTTCATAGAAGAGGTGGCTTTTGGGCCAGGTCTTAACAAATGAGCAAGTATCTACCAAACCAGGGCAGCTACAGATAGGGCAGCATTCCAGAAGGAGAAAACAACCTAACAAGGGCACAACGACATTTTGGGAAATGCAAGAAGTTCAGCCTGGCTGGGAAGCACACTGGGTAGGGAACGGGACAGCGGTGAAGCCAGATCTCAAAGAGGCTTAACTGTATGCATGTTGAGGAATTTGGACTTCATCTGTAGAGACAAAACAGGGAGCCACTCGCGGGGGCTAAGTAGGGTTATAAGTGAATGGCTCTACAGCTCAGTGGAAAATGGCCTGGAGAGGGGCAATGGAGGAGACAGAGAGACCCCGCAGAGGCATCTTGTTCAGGTAAGGGTGATACAGGCCAAAGCTAAGACGAGCTCAGATATCACCTTCTCCAGGAAGCCCTCCGTGACTCAGGTCGTGTCAGCTGCCCCTCCTTGAGCATCTCTTTCCATATCTTGTTATATCATGAGTTCTATGTCTGCCTGGCAGGGACCAAACTGGACTTGTCTTTGTATCCTCTGAGCCCAGCACAGAGTGTGATCAGTGCTTACCCACTGAGCATACAAGTCAGTCAGTGAAGCACAAACAGCCATGGGGACACAGAGGAAGGAGCCAGGAAGAGAGGGATACATCAAGCCCTGGTGAGCAATCATGGCGGGGAGACTTGGACCCCCAGGACTCTGAAGCCATTTACAGAGACACAAGGGAAGGGAAAAGGGGGAAAAAAGATGCCTGAGTTCAGGTTCCTGCAGGTCATTCAGGTAGAGGCTAGGCCAGGGCTCCCAGTTGGAGAGGGTGGAGTTGTTAGCACCAGTGTGATTGAAGCATCAGTGTGAAAGCTCGACCTGGAAAGTCTGTGCATTCACAACATGCAGAATGGGCTGCCCACCTCCAGGAAGCGCTCAGATGCCCTGCCCACATGAGCTGCTACTCAGGTCTGGGAAGGTCTGACACTTAATACAAACGAGTTTCCCTTATGGCCACTGGAGTGATGAGCCCTTTGAAAACCATCAACTCAATCTCTGACAGCAATAAGAATACAGCAAGCAGGAGGACTGGGTTGTAAACCCTGGAGAAATCACTGAACTGCTCTGTGCTGCAGTTCCTGAACATGTAAAATCACAATGGCAACACAGTTGCTGCTTTCTCCCAGGTGTTTCAAACTAAGAGATAAAATGTTTTCAAATAATAAGATATGAATGTGAGATAATCTAACCATTTCTCTCCAAATCCCTTACAACTACTGGAGCCTCCTCTTTCACCTCCCTCAAGGGCAACCAAAATCCATTTTCCCATTAATGATTAGCTAAGATTGGATTTTTAAAAAAGTTACCTCCCAATTGATGCGATATTACCAAAGGTATAAAACACTGCGAAGAGGTGTAATCCCTTCCTGGGCACCCACAGCAGAAGAGTACCCTAGAATTTAAAGCACAGCGTTTGCACATGAGCAACCCCTCCCACCTGGCCACACAAGCAGAGCTCACTGAGGAAGCCCTGAGGAGGCCGTTTCCCGCCCCACCTCCCTGATTCCCCTCTCCTCTCATCCATGCATTTTAGTGAAGGGCAAAAGGGGAATATATAGCAAAGACGGGTAGGAGGAAAAGACAGAGGAGGGAGGGAAACCTTACCAGCAGTGAGCAGAGAATTCCTATAGCAAAACACGCAATGAAGCCTTTTATCCTGGTCCCCCAGCTTAATGAAGATGCCTCAACAACCTAAAATTGAAAAAAAAAAAAAATACATATACACACACATTTACTAAAAACAAAGAAAGCACAAAATTAAATCTAGAAAGTGTTAAGTTGTACTAGGGAAGGCAAGGAGCACAGAATCCTACACACTCAGGCGATGGGAGTCATCGAATCCAGACTTTATCAGAGCTGTAAAGTTATGATGCAGATATGAATCTCCTCTCCAGCAGCTAACAGCTGTGCCTCCCGCTGAACATCTTCAGAGGCAGAAACTCTTTGCCTTGAGCACAACTCATTTCATGAACAGGAAGGCAAGACAGCCAATCCTAGAGTAGCCCAGCGCCTTCCCACAACCCACACAGGATGAGGACCACACCTGGAAAGGCATTTCCAGGCAGGGTCCCAGGAAATAAGGAAAAGATGAGGGGACGGCACTCAAGCAGCTGCTCCACTGCTCATCCTCTCCTACATCAACTCTCACCCGCATTATTTACTCTTGGTTCAGATGTTGTACTTACAGGGTGCCAGCATCAGTCAACTCATCCAAGTGCAAGACAGATCCTGGTTAATTAATGACAGTCCTGCTCATCCTGATTCTTTGCCATCATGATTAATCCCTCCCTGGAGCAAAGTTCAGGAGAAGCCAGGAGTTCCAAAAACACTATTGAAATAGGAGAGCCTGTGAGTAGCTCCCAATGGTTCTTTTCCCATGTCAAAAATGACAACAGCCGGGCACAGTGGCTCATGCCTGTAATCCCAGCACTTTGGGGGGCCAAGGTGGGCACATCACCTGAGGTCAGGAGTTTGAGAGCAGCCTGACCAACATGGTGAAACTTTGTCTCTACTAAAAATACAAAAAATTAGCCAGGTGTGGTGGTACATGCCTGTAATCCCAGCTACTTGGGAGGCTGAGGCAGAAGAATTGCTTGAACCTGGGAGGTGGAGGTTGCAGTGAGCCGAGGTTGTACATTGTACTCCAGCCTGGGCAACAAGAATATAACTCTTGTTGTCTCGGAAAAAAATGACAACAAAGTCTCCGCACTGGTGACCCTGCTCATCTGTCCACCTGATGCAAGTGGGAACAGCTGTTCCAAGCTGGACAAAGACAGCTGCCAGTGAGAGACCAACACCACACAGGGCTCACCTTGTACGGCCAGCATGGTCTCCATCTAGCAATGCGGTCAAAGTTCCCTACCATATTTCCACCCGGCTGATGGAAGAAGGTAGATAGTGGCAGAGAGTCAAGAGTCATTAGCCTGGCAACTCCCTCAGCCTTGACTACCCCCAGCTCAGGGATCTGTTTTCAACCATGTCTCCAGAGTTCCTGTCAAACCAGAAGCTTGAAAAGAACGATGAGAGGCTCCCCTCAGGTGTGGCACGTATTGCCAAAGACTACCTTAATCTCCACTCAGGAGAAAGGTATTTAGGTCAGGTTATACATTCATACATATTGGAACTGAGCCCATGACCCTGCACAGAAGGCACAAATTAGGGATGATAACAGGTAGCAGGGGCCCAGTGTTAAGACCTGACAAATGAGTCACCTGGTTTTACGCTGAGGTAAACCTCTCCTGGAGCTGTCTGGTTTCCCAAACCCCCCTGGACTCCAAAATGAGCCATGTGATGATGCTCTGGTAGCAGGCTTTACAAGGCCCCAGACAATCTAGTCAGGCTACTTCTGACTAAAGCATTTAACCTCCCACCAGTCTCATTTGAGTGGTACCTAAAATGAGAAGGTACCACTCTTCCTACTCATGCAAGAACCAAAGAACTTACCTTGCCAAGGCGAGAAAAGAACTAGCTGCAGGTGGGAAGAAAAATTGGCCTGGCTTGTTCATAGGAAGAAGAGTGATAGTGGGATTGGCCTGGCTTGTTCACAGAAAGAAAAGCGTAGTGGGATTGGCCTGGCTTGTCTGTAGGAAGAGCGGTAGTAGGATTGTCCTGGCTTGTTCATAGGAAGAAGCATGGTAGTAGGACTGGACTGGCTTGTCTGCAGCAAGAAGAGTGGTAGTAAGATTTGACTGGATGGTTCCCTGAGCACTACATGTCATCAACAGGGATATTTTAAAAGATTCAACCTTTCTATTTTAAGAGGATAAACCATAAGGTTAAGAATGAAATCTGAATTGGCTTTGACATCTAGATTGCTAAATAACCTCAACAGAACAGTGAGATTCCAGCCCTCATAAAAATCAAAATAACTGACAATAGGAAGCAGTTCAGCCAAGAATGTGTTTCTGGTTTCTACCTTCAGAAAGGAAAGTAACACTCCATATTCAAGTCTCTCAAGCTGAATCCATCCAAATGTTACTGTTTGCCAAAATGGAAGGGGTGGGGGGCATATTTCACCACTGTATTTTTCCATTACATGTGGTTGCAAGTTCTTTTACATGCACACTCGGTCAGGGAAGGAGGAAGCTGTTGTTCCACTTCTTCTAACTGGACTCAGTGAAGGCAATACACTTCTTTTGGCCAAATTATGAAAACAAACTCATAAAATGTCTGTAAATTCATGACTGCTGGAAGCTGTGCTAGCATATTGTTTTTGGAAATTAGAGTAGCTAAAATGGTACCTGGATAGAATGTGTAGGCAATGCGCTCCCGGGCAGTCTGACTGACTGGCAGCTATTCACAAAGGTCCCTTTCACTCTGCGATGTGGAGAGAAGAGAGGCTCTTGCCAAGAAGAAGTAATACTAAGAATTGTTCAGAAAAACAGGATTGGTAGCCAGAAGGTGAGAAAGGAATACTGCTTCATTTCCACACTTTAAAATCAGATACTACTCATACCTTTCTTGTCCCCAGAATCGTTTATTAAAAAAACATAAAACCTATACTTTCAGAAAGAAGCCCATTGAAACTACAGACTTAAGGTGTACTTATGAAGATGAGGTATCCATCACAAAATTCATCATGGGCTATAATTAGATACTGCCATGCAAATTTTATAACTACCTAGGAGAGGTAGGAGAAATAGAACTAGTCATACCTTTATGGTTTGCATTAAAGGAATAAGAGTTTTAAAAAGCACTCTCTTCTAGTGACCTCTTAAAGAGATTTTAAGAGTGCCTAATTCAACTTACCACACAAAACAGCAATTTCCCCATGGAATCCTCCAGTTCTACCAGCCCCCAAACCATGAAAAATATTAGACAATTAAATCAGTACTAATATTTTAAAGGAAGCTCTGAGCTAATCAGTAAATACTAAGCTGAAACAGCCTGGAAGATGAAGTCAGTCGGCAACAAAACATTTCCCAGGAATTCAAGACTTGGGAAGTGCCATACAATGATGTTATAAACAGAATCTCACTCAGAAAGAGGAAACTGATCAAAGTATTTTAGAACAAGAACGAAGCACCTATTCTTTTTAAATTAGGTCCAACAGATGCCTCAGCATAACACATTAAAGCCCTTCTCACAGTATCCAACACAGACATTCACCATTTTAGGTTAAAAACAAGCTCAGCATTTATGTTTGCAAACTTTACTAGTCATCCACTGTTGAGGGTCAGCCCACTGCTTCGTGATGATTTTCGAGACAATAATATCTGCATCGTCCCACTGTCAACACTCCACCCCCCAAGAGTCTGCAGGGAGATAAAGTGTCTCCCTCTTAAGCACCAACTGTTCATAAAGGCTTGTTGACAGTCAATGGAAATAAAGCTTTAAATAATGAGGGTCAGCTACCTACGAGTCAGACCTTTCTTAGGCCTGGTCTGAGGTTCCACTTGAGATTCATAATAGAGACTAGAAATAAAAAAAAAAAAAGAACCTGTGAAATTACTCCTGAGCCTTGACCAATTAATAAAGTCAACAAATTAAAAAGAACCCACCAACTAGTTCTGAAATGTCAAAAAGTTAAACTTCAGTGCCTCCAACATTCGATCCCATAGTTACTCCCTCAAGGTGAAGATTAAGAGGGCAAGTTTTACGTTCTGAGATGTCATGCAGAAAGTTTAAGTCCCAGTATCACACAAAACAAAACCGAATAAAATCAGCAACCACAAACGTGGGTGAAAGCAGCCTGCTGAGAAAGAAGACCTTGCTGAGAAACCAGAAGAAACACCGATTAGTTTCCAGTTAGCCATATCATCTTAACATCCTCATTTCACAGATGAGGAACAGAGGCTAAAGAATACGCCAAAGAGTGAAGAGAAACGTTATTTTGTCATCCAAAAAGGAAAACAAAAGCTAAAAGCATCCCAAATAGAAATGCAGCATTCTGTGTGGTTCTACAACATAGGACATTAGCAGCCAGGTTTCAGCACGATTAAAACTTTTCTAATAGGCCGGGCGCGGTGGCTCATGCCTGGAATTCCAGCACTTTGGGAGGCAGAGGTGGACGGATCACTTGAGGTCAGGAGTTTGAGAACAGCCTGGCCCAGATGGTGAAACCCCGTATCTAATAAAAACACAAAAATAAGCCGGGTTTGGTGGCGGGTGTCTGTAATCCCAGTTACTTGGGAGGCTGAGGTGGAAGAATCGCTTGAACCCAAGAGGCGGAGGCTGCAGTGAGCCGAGATAGCACCACTGCACTCCAGCCTGGACAACAGAGTGAGGCTCTGTCTCGGGGGGTGGGGGGGGGGGGAAAGCTTTTCTAATAAACCAACACGCAGGCAGTCTCCTGAGGCGCTGGGTGTCTAGAGTCTAGGTGTGGGCACTGTGGACACAGAGACACAAGATGTGGTCCCTGTCCTCATGGGATGGGGGGCAGTTTCTCCCCCTCAATCACAAGGCAATGTGTACAGGGAGTGTATAGGGAGTGTCACACCCTATAACCTAAACCGGGCAGAAAACCAAGGCAGAGCTCGCGGCGCGGCCACCAGCCCCGTCGCGAGGTGGGGACCGCCACCCCAACACCTCAGCCTGGGTCTGGCGCTCCGACCCACCCAGCGAGGGCTCCTTCCGCCAGGACCTCGGGGCCCCCAGCTCTACCCGGCCCTAAAGCGCATTTCCCGGCCGGGGCCGACAGCCCGGTCGCCCGCCCTCCCACTCGCAGCTCGGGCCAGGGATTTCCTCCTGCGCCGCTCCCTGTCAGGGAGAATGGGCTGAAGGGGCGCGGGGCAGAAAAGAACGCCGCGGCCGACTGCCCCGTGCAGTGCCAGGGCTCCTCGCGGAGCCCTACAGAAGAGGAGGAGAAGGGGCAGAGCTACAGTCCAGAAACTCCAGGGAGTCCCCGCAGGCTTCGCAGGCTTCCCAGGCCCGGGCCGGGGACGTAGCGCGGGAGCGCGGCGAGAGGGGGCCGAGGGCCCCGGGCTCACTCACCTCGGACAGGCCGCTCCGGTCCTCCGTGTCCTGCCCGCTCAGCACTTTCTTCAGCTTGTCCATTGCGGCCCAGTACCCACCGGCTCCAGCCCCTCTGCAGCAGCCTGTTGCGCCTCGCGAAGTTGACGGCTCTTCCGGGTACTAGGCAGCCGCCCCGCCACCCGGGCGCCAACCGCGGCGCGCCCCGCCCAGGCACCTGCCCACCTGGGGGCGCCCGGCATGCCCCGCGCGCCCGCGCCGGCCTTCGCCCTTGTGTTTTTGTCCCGGGAGGCGGGTCGGGCCGGAGGGGCTGGGATTGAAATCACCAGGCGCTGCCAAACATTAATTGGGCGTCCGGAGCAGTTTCAAACCCGAACGGGCTGCGCTCCCTCGCCCTACTTGATCCAGTCAACAAATGCTGAGCACCTACCACGTGCAAGGCTCTGGAGAAACAAAGACGGGGAAGAAGCCTTGTGCAGACGGGAACAAAGGCTGTGTTTCATCCATATCGCGATCGTGCCTACACAGGAAAAGATTTTTTTTTTAATTACTCAAGGCCT